ATTTTTGTTATTATTAATGTTAGTCTTGGTAGAGCTGCTATCATTGTTGTTGTTGTCATTACTCTTGTTTTTCTGTTGTTGTTTCTGCCTCTACAAAAATAAGCTGAATAAAAAAAAACTTCTAGTATCAAATGCGATAAGGTTCAGAATCTGGTGAAAAACAGTTGTGATAAGCCCAGGATAAGATAACGGCCTTACCCTTCTATTCCCTCCCTTCTACCCCCCCCCCCTTACTTCTATTCACCCTTTGCTTCCATTTACTCCCCTTCCCTACCCGCACTCTCCTCCCCTCCCCTACTCACACTCCCCTCCCCTCCCCCCACCCCCCACTCCCCTCCCCTCCCCTATCTAGCCACTCCCACTTATTCCGACCCTCCTCCTACTCCCTCCTCCCCTCGCTCCTTCCATCCCCCAGCCTCTATCCCACTCTCCTTTCCCTCCCTTCCCTCCCAATCCACCCCCCACCTGCCTTCCCCAACCATCCCTACCCACCCACCTCTTCTGGCCCCACCTTCCCCACCTACTCAGCCAGGGAAGCATGGGTCATGTTGAGTCATTTTCTATTTATAAAGCCTACGGGACCTCGATTCTTACGGGAAATGAGTAAAAAAAAAAAGGTTTATTTTTTGGTATGCCTGTGTATGTGGATTTTTTGTATGACGTGTTTTAAAGGTCGTGTCGTTTTTTGTGTGTGCCTGTGTTTGTTTGTTTGGTTTATTCTTTGTGTTTGTTAATATTTTTGTATTGTCTTTTTCTTTTTTTTTCTTTTATTATTTTTAGATTTTGTTTATTTTTATGCTTTGATTTTAGGTATGTTTTTTTAGTTTCTTCTGTTTTATTATTTGTTTTTGTTTTATTTGTTCTTTTATATTTCACTTTTATTGTCACTTCTTCTACAACTGGTACTACTACTACTAATAAAGATAATATGATGATAATCGTCATAAAAACAACCTGACCTCTGGTAGCGAAAGAGGCAAATAAATAGAGGAGAGAGGATTTTGCAACTAACTGTTTTCTCTGTCGCTGCGATCGCCTCGAGTAATGATTCACACCGAAGCGCGTCCATTGTGCTCTCGCGAAGGCCTTCCGGAGGCACGCCGCGTCCTGCGCCTGGATCAGAGGAACTGTGCAGATCCTTCGCTTCCTCTGTTCTCTAGGCCGTTCTGTTCGGTTGGGCTGTCTGTCTGGTTTGGTTCTGTTTGGTAGTCTCTTTCTCTCTCACTCTCGGTTGCTCGGTCTCGCTTTCTTCCTTACTCTCGGTTGCTCTGCCTTTTCCCCGTTCGTGCTCTGTCTCTTTCTCTCGCTTACCCTTTTTCTCTCACTCTCTCACTTTCTCTCTCATTCTCTCACTCTCTATATCTGTCTATCCCTATCTCATTCTGTCTATATATCTCTCTATCTCTTGCCTTGTCTCTCTTTCCCTCGCTCACTCTCTTTTACTCTCTCTCTCATTCTCTTTTACTCTCTCTCTCTCTCTCTCTCTCTCTCTCTCTCTCTCTCTCTCTCTCTCTCTCTCTCTCTCTCTCTCTCTCTCTTTACTCTCTCTCTCTCTCTCTCTTTTACTCTCTCTCTCTCTCTCTTTTACTCTCTCTCTCTCTCTCTCTCTCTCTCTCTCTCTCTCTCTCTCTCTCTCTCTCTCTCTCTCTCTCTCTCTCTCTCTCTCTCTCTCTCTTTCTCCCCCTCTCCCCCTCCCCTATCCCCCTCCCCCCCTAAACAACACGTCGGATGCAATCTCATGAAGCTATGTAATTAAGACGCGACAGAGACGGAAGAGAAAGAGGAGAAGGAAGAAGAAGATGATGGGGGGAGAGAATGAGAATGAGATGGAGGAAGAAAATAATAATAATAGTAATAATAATAATAAGACGAATATGAAAAAAAGAAGAATCTAGAAAGAGAAAGAGAAGCAAGGAAGGAGACGAAACGGCCGTCGAGGAGATTACGAAGGATTTGCTCGAGGGAAGAAGGGGAAGTGACGGGGAGGGAAGACAAGGAAGGAAGGAGGAGGGAAGGGGATATAGGAGGAGGTGGTGGGGATGGGATGGTGAGGGGGGGTGGGGAAGGGGAAGTGTGAGGGGGGTGGTGGGGAGATGGGAGGCAAGACGTCTCAGGCAGGTCTTTGATTAATTAATGCCGATGGGAGTGGTTCTGTCGCTCTTGCTCGGAGAAAGGAAGGGGTTTAATCACGTCTTGGTGGAATTTCGGGACGAGTTCGAGATTTTCTCTCTATCGTTCTTCTTCCTCTTCCTCTTCCTCTTCATCCTCCTCTTTTCTTCTTTTCCTTCTCACTCTCTTCCTTTTCCTTCTCTCCTTCCCTCCCTTTCCCCCTTTCCCCTTCCCTTCCTTTCCCCCTTCCCCCTTCCCTTCCTCCGTCCCTCCTTCATACCACCATCCTTCCTTATCTCCCTCCCTCCCTCCCTCACACCACCATCCCTCCCAGTCTCGGAGCTAAGCTCCTTTATCCATTCCCGCTAATAAAAAGCTCCTCTTCCTCCAGAATGCGCCCCTGAGCCCGGACCTCGCCGCCTCGACCCCCGCAGCCACCAGCAGGCGAAGTAGGCCTACCTCCTTCCCTCTTTCCGTTTGGGTCCATGATCCTGCCGACGAGCGAGGGCGGGGGCGTTGGGCGCGTCGTCCCCCACCCGGCCTCGTCCTCCAAGGGCAAGGGCTCCCGCAGCTCGAGCGCCTTCCACGACGTGTCTCCCGAGGACATCCTGAAGAACCTGGAGAAGGCGGGCGGCCCTAAAGACGCGAGGAAGGCGCGATCGGGAGGCGGCGCCGGCGAAAGGCAGCCAGGGAACCAGCCGGCCACGGAGAGCCCTCTGGCGCTGGTCAAGGAGCTCGTGGACTCCTTCGGGCGGCCGCCGGAGGAGGACTTCTACATCCGGGACAAGGCGCTGATGGTGGCGCAGCAGGGCCGGCTCAAGAGGATGGTTTATTCGACGCTCTTAGCCCACAGGAAAGGTAGGCGGGGGGGGGGGGGGCACATACACACACACACACACACACACACACACACACACACACACACACACACACACACACACACACACACACACACACACACATACACACACACACACACACACACACACACACACACACACACACACACACACACACACACACACACACACACACACACACACACACACACTCACAAACGCGCGCACACACACACGGAAAGGTCAATGACACGGCAGTCATGCATGTTTATATATGTATCACATTATTTATTAAACATTGCACCATTGCTAAACGAGACAAGAATTTTAACAACACCAACTGTAATTGCAATATTATGCAACATCGACGGCATTCGATTCTGAAAATGAACGTTTACACACACACGTAAACAGACCCGACATGCAAGCTCGTACCAACCATTTCGTTTTATTCCCCAGATTATGACCTGGATTCGGAGAGCGGGGCCAACGACAACAAAGCCAAAAGGTCAATCACAAAGGTCACGGAGGTCGAACAGCTGATCTGGCTGACCTACGTGCTCCGGCAACAGCGGAGGTTCGACGATGCAAACTCGCTCGATGCTTGTTTGCAAACACTCAAGGAAGAGGGTGCGTTGTTGGGGGGGGGGGGGTTCTTGCATGTAGCTGGGCATTCATTATTCCGTATTCACTTCCTTATTCACGTTCACTCACTCATTCTCTCACTTCTTATATCACTCCCTCTCATTCGCTGGTAGACTCACTCATTCGTACTGTCATTCCTTTTCTTCTTATTCACTCACTTTCACACTCATTTATTAATTCATTCATTCTTTCTCTCACTTTTCACTCACTTAATTATTATTTATTCATTTATTCTCTTACTTCTCGCTAACTCCTCTCTCTCTCTCTCTCTCTCTCTCTCTCTCTCTCTCTCTCTCTCTCTCTCTCTCTCTCTCCCTCCCTCCCTCCCTCCTCTCTCCTCTCCCTCCTCTCTCCTCTCCCTCCTCTCCCCTCTCCCCTCTCCCCTCTCTCTCTCTCTCTCTCTCTCTCTCTCCTCTCTCTCTCTCTCCTCTCTCTCCTCTCTCTCTCTCTCTCTCTCTCTCTCTCTCTCTCTCTCTCTCTCTCTCTCTCTCTCTCTCTGTATTTCCTCTCTCTCTCTTTGATATTTTGGCCCTGGTATTTCATTACATATACATTGAATTATTTAGTATTCAGGTATTCCTTACTGGGGTGTCAATTGGTTTAAAGTCGGATGTAATTTGCATATTTAGTTGTCTTAACTGGTTTTACAAGTTCATGGTCACAGCAATATTATGGCTTGGAAAAGCAGAATTTCAGGGAGGGTTGTTTCGTGTTGTGCCAGGAAGACTGTCTAGAAAGTGTATATATATTTTTGTTTTCTTTTTTTTCTCTTCTTTTTTTTTTTGCCTGTGATATCAGTGACACTACATATTTTTTATTTCTGTAGGAAATTTAAGTTTGTTATGTTCTCTCTCACTCTCTCTCTCTCTCTCTCTCTCTCTCCCTCTCCCTCTCCCTCTCCCTCTCTCTCTCTCTCTATCTCTCTCTCTCTCTTCTCTCTCTCTCTCCTCTCTCTCTCTTTGATATTTTGGCCCTGGTATTTCATTACATATACATTGAACTTATTTAGTATTCAGGTATTCCTTACTGGGTGTCAATTGGTTTAAAGTCGGATGTAATTTGCATATTTAGTTGTCTTAACTGGTTTTACAAGTTCATGGTCACAGCAATATTATGGCTTGGAAAAGCAGAATTTCAGGGAGGGTTGTTTCGTGTTGTGCCAGGAAGACTGTCTAGAAAGTGTATATATATTTTTGTTTTCTTTTTTTTCTCTTCTTTTTTTTTTTGCCTGGGATATCAGTGACACTACATATTTTTTTTATTTCTGTAGGAAATTTAAGTTTGTTATGTTCTCTCTCTCTCTCTCTCTCTCTCTCTCTCTCTCTCTCTCTCTCTCTCTCTCTCTTTGATATTTTGGCCCTGGTATTTCATTACATATACATTGAATTATTTAGTATTCAGGTATTCCTTACTGGGGTGTCAATTGGTTTAAAGTCGGATGTAATTTGCATATTTAGTTGTCTTAACTGGTTTTACAAGTTCATGGTCACAGCAATATTATGGCTTGGAAAAGCAGAATTTCAGGGAGGGTTGTTTCGTGTTGTGCCAGGAAGACTGTCTAGTATATATATATATATATATATATATATATATATATATATATATATAGATATATATATATATGATTTTTTTTTTGTTTTCTTTTTTTTCTCTTCTTTTTTTTTTTGCCTGGGATATCAGTGACACTACATATTTTTTTTATTTCTGTAGGAAATTTAAGTTTGTTATGTTCTCTCTCTCTCTCTTTGATATTTTGGCCCTGGTATTTCATTACATATACATTGAATTATTTAGTATTCAGGTATTCCTTACTGGGGTGTCAATTGGTTTAAAGTCGGATGTAATTTGCATATTTAGTTGTCTTAACTGGTTTTACAAGTTCATGGTCACAGCAATATTATGGCTTGGAAAAGCAGAATTTCAGGGAGGGTTGTTTCGTGTTGTGCCAGGAAGACTGTCTAGAAAGTGTATATATATTTTTGTTTTCTTTTTTTTCTCTTCTTTTTTTTTTTGCCTGTGATATCAGTGACACTACATATTTTTTTTATTTCTGTAGGAAATTTAAGTTTGTTATGTTCTCTCTCTCTCTCTTTGATATTTTGGCCCTGGTATTTCATTACATATACATTGAATTATTTAGTATTCAGGTATTCCTTACTGGGGTGTCAATTGGTTTAAAGTCGGATGTAATTTGCATATTTAGTTGTCTTAACTGGTTTTACAAGTTCATGGTCACAGCAATATTATGGCTTGGAAAAGCAGAATTTCAGGGAGGGTTGTTTAGTGCTTTTGTCGCTTGGCAGGCTACAAATCAAGATGTTTTTAATGTGAGTTTGCTGTTTAATTCTTCATGCTAGTTCCCTGTTAATGAAAGATATGTTAATATTCATATATATTTTTCTCCTATCAGTTATCATGTGGATCTCCCTTGGAATTTGTATAGAGCAGGACAACTAGTGCTTATTAAATTCCCATGTAATTAACATGAATATGAGGAAGAGATTGAAACAGGCCATGTTAATTAGCATTTGTGTGCTAATGCTGTATACTGAGTGTTGGGTATTTTGTAGTTTGTGTGTGAATGAGTTTGTTGTGCTGTTTGTTGATGTTGATGTGGCCACTTGCAATTTTATACATCGTTTGCTGTCTGTATTTTGTAACCACTCTTTTACATGTATAGATGAGAGAGTTACTTTGCCAAATGATATGGAGCAGTTGCTTATTCAAGTATTAGTACTTTGATCACGTCAGAGTCTGGGGATATTTATGCTCTCTTGTTTATTCTTTGCACTTTGTTCTCATTTCTAAGAATGTATCAGTGTCACCTGAAATACACATGTGGTGGAATAGGTAACAAAACACTTATATTCCACAACTGTATGTTGTGGTAGTCTTTTATATGTTGATATACCAAGAATGTGTGTGTAATTGTTTGGCAGAGAAGCTTCCAGCCTTGGCTTTTTGTGTGTGTGTGTGTATCCCAGACAGCAAGCACAGTGTTCAAGGGCAGGGAAAACAAGTGAATTGTGAGATAGGCATTTAACCCATTGTCATCCACATACTGTACACTATGGTTTTGTGTGTTTAATTATGTTTACATATAGTTGGTCTGCAGCTCAGTCACCAAGGAGTCAATTTGTAGGCCTGAATGACCTCACCTGATTTTGCCATTCCTATTTTCATAAATTTTTCTTTCTATTTTTTAGATACTATTGATATTGTTAACTGATAATTTGTTTTATTATTGGATGTGTATTTCCAAATGTATGCCACCACAATGACCTCCCATCCCTCCGACCATTCCAGAAGCGCCCCACTTTCTTGCCGACGGGCCCCCTGCACTATGGAGATACCTTCTTACACTCGGCAGAGCATGGCCGTTTCTACATGCACTTCCCAGCCGAGTTGTTTAGTCCCGCCTCCATTGAGTTGATGAAGGAGAGAACCCCTGTGTCTCCCATGAGCGTTGATTCCATGCTGGGGCTTTGCAATGCTCTCCCGGGCACTGGTGTGAGCCCTCTCCTGCTGCAGGAGAATCAGTTTGAAGCTTTTGGCAAGTGAGTAATTTATATTATTGATACTGTTATTCTATGAAAATCCGATAGGTGCTGGTAATGGTAATCATAATAGCTACTGCTTGTAATGAAGATGATTACAACTGTGATGTAGGATTATAAAAAAATGTAATGATAGGTAATTATGATAATAATGGTGATGATTACTATCCCATGAGAGAAAAGTACAGCTATTTACCTACTTCATTGTCTCTACAGAGCTATGGGTGCAATGCTGCAAGAAAGGAGTGGTGAACTTACTCCAGATGCTGTCCTCACCTTGCCAGAATTACCAAGCAACCCCCATGGGTACTGCTATTTTGGTCATGTGCCCAAATCACTGCCCTCACCGTCTAGTAGTGCAGTAAGTTTTTTTTTTATGTAAAGTCTTTAAAGCTGATGAAAATGTTTTCAGATATATGACTAATAGTTTACATACTTTTTCTGACACAAAGTTTAATGTCTGCTCATGACAGGTTGGCAGTGATGAGGGGTATGCCTCGTCAAGAGCAAGTTCTCGTCACTGCCCAGAAGAGGAGAAGGGTGACATCTGGGAGGCAGTGCTGGAAGGTCCTCCTCTGACCTCCCGGCGAACCTGGGAGAACCTCGGGCACCCAGCAACTACCAAAGAGAAATTATATTTGACCGAAACAGGGACTGAGACCTCTCACAGGTATGGACACTAATCTCAGTGGATGTACAAAATCTAGGAAAAATCTGCCAAATGGAAATGCAGAGGTGTAATCACTAGAAATTTAGTACACAAGTTAAGAAATATTCTCTTTTGGTTACAGGGTTTGGGTAGTGTACCAGCAGCTATGGGGGAGCTTTGGAGCTGCTCACTATGTGCCAAGTCTACAAGTCTGCTCTGAAGAGAAGCTGTGTCAAGATTTGCTGCATCTTATGGTTGGCTTGCCGTCTCTGAATTTCCCATGGCATCAGGTGAGGATCGAAATTTTGTATTCTTCAGAGTATGCTATTTGTGTAAATTACAAGCTGATTACTTGTATCTGTGATGGGTAATTACTTATAGATATGAGGTATCCAATCAAAAGAATAGAATATTCAAGAATACATACTAAAAATTCAGGAAGCAAATAAGTATGTGATTTTTTTGGTTTAGATCTTTGGCTCAAGATTTTAATTAGAGGATCATGAGTATGAACATTAGTTTATATATATATATATATATATATATATATATATATATATATATATATATATATATATATATATATATATATATATATATATATATATATATATATACATTTATTTATATTAATTTTATTTATATAGTCATGAACTTCTCAGCATAAACTGAAGTAATATCCCCCCCAAAAAGAAGAACATCATAATGGTACCAGTAACTACATGCTTAATATTCTTTCTATGAATCCAGGAAACCAAGAGCTTCAGCATCAGGGAGGGATTGTGCTGTCCAGGCATCACGCCAGAACCTCTCAGACTGTCACTTGTACAGTTTGTCGAATGTGGCAGCTTTGTGCGGAGGTAAACTCTCCTGGACTGATATAGTTTTTCTTTGATACAAAATTTTCATTTTATTAAAACACAGATATCAAAAACATGACATAAAAATTAACATATTATTTGTTTTCCCAAAGGCTTGAAACTGTGTGCACCCCTCCAGCCATGTACACACGCCAAGTCCACATCCAAGGTTTAGTGTTTCGTGCTTTCACTACTGCCGTTTCAAACTTCCTCCAGATGTATAGGTGAGTATCCAAGTTATCCTTGATGCATTTTGATAAAGCATCTTTATCCAAAGCAGGATAAGCAATATATATATGTAGATAGTGTTATGATGGAGTTTGTCTTTCCTTTGTGAATATATGAAATAATGCAGAGGATCCATGTCTTTTGTTTTGTAAACCATATCAATATAGAAAATTCTTTGCATTAGTAAAAAAAGTATTACTAATAATTCATGTCACATTCACATACAAGCCTTTAATATCAAGAATATAATTTCAGGGGCATGGTTTTGTCACTTGTTGGTGGGAAGCACCTCTTGCAGCTTCAACAGAAGGCTCAAAATCTAGTCAAGAAAGTCAAGTTTGTCGCTGAGTTGTGCCACATCTCCCCCGTATCAGAAACAATTAAAACTTCAGGCATGCGAGCTAGAACCAGTGGAAAGGTTGCTGGGCCTGAAAGTTCAGCAAACACCTCTCTCAAGAGCCACAACTCAAGCACAGTATCACAGGTTCAGATTTCCACAGGGAAGCTACCAAGGGGTCTGTCTCTCATTGGGGAGCTGCATAGTCGCTTGATGGTGACAAAGGACCGTGAGTGTTCTCTCCTCCTGGTGTCCATCTTGAAAGCGACATGCGTACCCTTCTTCAGGTAATTCATCAGGGTTTCCATAAGGGTTTTAGGCTTATCTATTTATGCAACTTTTTTTTGAGAAAAGTGGAAAAAGTGGACAAAGTTTTGTTCAAAAGCTGTAAATCTTTGTACATTATCATACCATAAGTTTATTTGTACCTGTAAGTAATAGGAATAAAAAACAAGCAACAGAATATCCAAGAATCAGCACACTATCCATTTGTCTGTTCAGAATAAGCACCAGCATCTTTTAATTCACCTCAGGTATTTAGAAGAGTGGGTGTACGAGGGCTTGTGCTCCGATCCAGGACTAGAATTCATGATAGATGTCGATGGAAGGTCACTCCTCAAGCGGGACAGGAGTTACTGGACGCACGGCTACACCCTGCGTGATCTGTCGGACGTGCCACCGTTCCTTCGCGAGGTCCTCCAAGAGGCTTATACATGTGGAAAGGCTCTTAACTTGTTGAAGCTTTGCTCACCTAAAGTACGTTTGATAATGGAGAATGGACACTTTTGCTTATCTTTTGCCTAAGAAAGAAGAAAGATATGATATGCTGCCCTAGATTTATGTCTACTTCCATTTTGTTTATATTTTGCTTTCACTGAATTTATACCCATGTCCTCTCTTGTATAGCATCATCTAGTCGCAGCTGGTGGAGTCAAGCATCCAAGCTTTCAGTTATGCATCTCTAGCAAAGAAATGGAAACAATGAGGAGCCAGTGCGAGAACTATGCCGCACACATGGAATATTTAGCCGCCAGGAATCAGGTATGGAATATTTACCACTGTGGAGCTCAAGAGAGAAGGAAAAAGAAGAAAATGTGATTTTCAAATGAAATTGGAAACTTGATATTTATTAACAGCAATCCCTAATGGTTTCAGGTCACAGCTCGGCAAAGAGAAGAACAACTGAGAGAGGAAAAGAAGCGACTTTTGGCCATATCTGCGAGGGAGCACGCAGCCGTTATCAAGGAGATTGAGAGTAAGTACCAGCAGCCTTCTGTGGGTATGACATGTATTATGGCATGTTGATTGAAGATTCATTAATGGAAATTTTATGCGTACTACTTTGGGTGGGCATCTTGTATATAATGTAGGATGTAATTTTCAGCTAGTGCACATTTTTATTACACAGAGTGAAGGAGAAATAGGTATCCATTTGATTTTTATCTCATATAATAACCTTTTCCTTCTTGCAGAGAGAATGAATGATGTCCGCCAACTAGAGATAGAGAGGAAAAGAGCCAGGTTTAAGGAACTCAAAGAAGAAGCACAAAAAGCTGAAGAAAGGAAGATGGAAGAGAAGGCAAAGGAATTGGAGTTGGAGAAGAAGATTGCTTTGGAAGCCGAGGAAGTAGAGAAGGAGAAGAAACAGCGAGAGGAAAAGCTGAAGTAAGAAAAATAGTTTCCCTTTTGTATTATTTTGATTTGTCCCTATTATGTTGCTGTATACTTATATAGTCTTTATCTATTTATATGATTTCATTGGTTAACCTCTTTTCATATCCTCATTCTGGAACACTTACCAAGAAGCTGGAGTAGGAAATGGATATTTAATGTCATAAAGGCTGAGGACTTTTGAAAGACCTCATAGGCTATTAATTTAGTGGGAGGATAATGATAGTTTTAATGATAAAATTATGGCAGGATAGTAATACCAATAATAGTGGTGAAAATAGATAATGATCATACCAATAACAAAAGAGATAACAATAATGTTGCTGACTTATGCCTCCATAGGCTGCCAGCTGACTGCCTCGTGGGGGAACCAAAACAGGAGAGGCATTCACTTCAACCGTATCTCTGTTTCATACAAGAGACCTATAAATAGTTGCAGATCTGGGGATGGGGGGGGACCATAGTGTGATAAATTGCACCTCTTACAACAGAGGAATATACAATAACCAAGACATGATGTTGGCTAGAACTGTGATTTCAAGTAAATTATCATATCTTGTTGTATATATGTATATGTACCTTCTTTCTTTACCCAAATGATAAGGGCTTAGAGCTGCTTACTACTGAAGCTGTATTTACAAAACACCTCTGGAACATTAAAGATAACCACAGGGGTGTTACCTCTCCTCCCACGCTCCCTAACTTCAGTGTTTGGCACCCCCTTATTTCATAATTCTCTCTCTCTCTCTCTCTCTCTCTCTCTCTCTCTCTCTCTCTCTCTCTCTCTCTCTCTCTCTCTCTCTCTCTCTCTCTCTCTCTCTCTCTCTCCCTCTCTCCCTCTCTCCCTCTCCCTCTCCCTCTCCCTCTCCCTCTCCCTCTGTCTCCCTCCTATTCCCCTAGAACGGACTCAAGAAAATGTTGATTGCCTTTTTGGGATCAATAGTCATGATATTTTTTTATGTATAAAGCTTACCAGGAAATTGTTAATCTACCTTTAGTTTTATATTTAGATACTCTATTCATATACAGTATAACAGTTCCCTTTCATTACAGTTAGATCAGTAAAATAAATGTAAGTAAAGCTTGACATCAGTTCATTAGATCTTGCATTTTTTTTTCTTTTCCAAATTGTTATGGTTTAAACCTTTTGAAAACCAGATTTATATTTATCGGTTTATTTCTTCCTGTTTCAGAGCTGAAATTGAAATGTATTATCAAAAGCTGATGCAGGCAGCAGAGCGTAGAGAGGTCCTTTCACAATGGAAACTGCAACGCTGTCTCCTGAGCGAGTCCCGGAAGAAGTTCATTGTCAACTTCAAATGGTCTCCACAGCCAGAGAATGAAGCAAAGAGAGCCAGCCATGATGATGAAGAGGAAACTGATACCTCAGATGTTACAACTGAGAGACTGTTACCTTTGGTAAAAAAGCTTGACACCCCTTCAGATACAAAATCCATTGATCACCTGAGTCCAGACCCTCTGAGGAGTGACTGCATTGAGCCAAGTCCAACAGAGGAATCAGTGTCAGCATATGACATGACCACTTCCCTCATGAGCACTTCATCTGACATTGTGGACACTCCCCATGATGAAAATCTGCCAGAACTGGAGGTTGACTCAACAAAGAACATTAACTATGATAGAAATGTGGCGGATAGCAGGATGTCCCGCGCATACATGAAGAGCTCCATTGGATCTATTATTCACAGCAAAGAACAGACTCAGCTGCCTGCAAGAGATAGACTCCCTGTGCACCCAGACTTCTCTAATGTTTGCAACCAAATGGAAGCATCTGCCATCAAGAAGAAAGTCTTGGAGGAAGAGTTTGGCATCGTTAGTACAGAGTTGGTCGGAGCTCAGGGTTTGTTGCATTCTAGTGGCAATGAAACGGTTACCAGAGAGTTGGTTAGTGAATTGCAAGTGGACAATGGAAATCTCACAGCCGCAGAGATTCGCCAGAGGGTCCTGAATGAAGAGTATGGCATCAGAGTGCGAGACACGCAGAGGCCAGGGGATGGCAATGCTAATTTTGTCCTAACGCAAACAACTGGTGACAAATTAAAGGATGGTGACGAAAATGGCAATACAGGTTCAGATGATGTAAATGCAAATGTGGATCAAGGATATACTTCAGAAATAGTCACAGTTCAGGGAGATGCAAATGCCAATAGTCAAGAGGCATCTGCAGTGGCTTCTACTGCCACTGTTGACTCTGGTCAAGGATGTATACCTCAGGAGAAAACCATTATGGGAAGTGAAGATGAAAGCAATGGTAATGTTCCTAATCTTAATGAAGCATTCACTAGATATCGTGAAACGTGTGCAGAGGCAGCAGCCATCAAACGTAAGGTTCTCAGTGAGGAATTTCAGTCTAGCACCACAAACAGGAACACAATGAATCTTTTGAAATCCAAAGCTGTAACATCATCTGCAGCAATGGAAAACAAAAAGCGTGTCCTGGATTCAGAATATGGCATTGGCAGAGAAAGCATGAGCAGAAACTCGAGAGCAGCAATAGCCTACGAGCGACAGGTTTCGGGAACCAGCACAGCTAGTTACAAATCCTGCCTGTCCTATGATAGACAGACCTCTGGCTCAACTGCCTTCACTACACCTGATGAAGAAAGGCCAGTCCTAATAGACCAGGTATGTTTTAAGAATTTCTTCAGTTTTGATGGCTTTTTCCCCTCAGGGGACATGATTGTATTTTATAAACCATGTTGTCAAAACATTGCATATGGACATGTTACATTTTAGGATGTTTAGGACATTCTGTATCAGATCTAGCCACCATGGAAAAAAGTGATAGTCCTGGAAATGTTCCAGTTTTTTATTGAAATGCCATCAAACTGGAATTTCAAAGAATATTGAGGTTATATTTGATGGTAAGAAATTTTACATATTTCTACAAAATGGGTAAATCCATGAATAGAATTGTTTTGTGCTAATGTTGAATGTTCCATTTCTGACAGGATATTAATCTGAATAAAAAAAATCTCATTGCTATTATTCTGAAGTGAAGTTTAATGGCTAAGTCTAAGTTTGGTCTTAAAGAAATTTATGCAAAAAATATACAGTCTAAAAACTTTGTCTGAAACGTGCTATGAAAGCTGATTATTACAGTAACTTTAGTATCGTTTTTAAAAACATGTTAGATTCTATTGTATACCAGGAACAGCACCTACTGCAGGATGTAAAGCTCCCTCACTGGGCATTTAAAGTAATAAAAATAGTGAATACCAGGTTTGTCCAAGTGTGAAAGATTTTTTACTGATAAAACTATTTATAGGTCATGACAGATATGAGCTTAAATTATTCTTCAACAGATGCAAGAGACAGAACATATCTTATGGAATGGTTCTCTGCTATTCTGAATAGTTTAAGCATTTCATTATTTTTTGTTAGTGGCTGTGGGAACATGCAACCTGATCAAGAAGACACTCTCATGTAACATGAACATTGCAATGACAAATGATTTCAAAATACAAATCATTTCAGTGCGGACTTATTGGGTCTGAAGTTACAGCTATATTTTTCTCTAGATTTTATCCTTCAAAGTTTGTTTTAGCTTTTAAGCAGTTGCTCATCTTATAGTTTTCATCTTTAAATATCTTGAATAGGGCTTATTTTTATAGATATAGTTGTGAATTGAAGTATAAAAACTACTGCTACAGATTTTTAATAAAGGATTAGATACTGCTAGGAATTGATAACCAAATTTGTAATTCATATATATAGGGTTATAAGATCTTTGTCAATATTGTAATAATAGTTTATTTCATCCTTATTTATATAGTAAACTGTAAAGAATTACCATTCTAATTGTAATTGCTTAATTAGCAAATGAGCAGATCGGAGAAAAAAATCAGCCTGTCACGATGATGAATGTTTTAATTTGTTTCTCTAAAGGCTAACTAAAGTCTTGGGAACTCTTTGCAATATTTGCTTGAGACAAGACAAATGCTTTGTTGCTTTTTCATTTATATGGGCCCATGAATGAGTTCCATGATATCCAGGCATCATAAATATGCTGATCACACACTAGAAGGCACTGTGTTCATGAAAGATTAGATACACTAGTAAATACATTCTTGATTTACACATTTGCAGTGACCGGTGTTTGATATTGTGTGATGGAAGCACATTGGTACTATGAACATGCACAGCACATGTTATAATTGGATAGTAAATGTATACATATGAATTATGAAGATCTTTGCATTGTTATGGGGCCATATGAAAAGACAGGCATCTTTTGTGGGGAAAACAAAAGTGGAAAAAAATGATGCTTGGATCCAGGTTTCAGATTTGTGTTTCAAGAAGCATAGTTTTTTCATTTGCTGTGTATTGCTGTTTATCTGCTTGAATTGAAAGTAAATGGTGCTTTCCAAGGTGGATTTTAGAGAACTAGGGTGACTTGTATAATTCAAAAGGGTTTATTGCTATGCACTCTTATGGTGACTCATTTCACAACACTGTACTTCGTGTCAGTTTTGTGCTTTGGCATTTGTTCACTGGTCAGAGTGAGTTTTCAAGTTGCAGCGCTTATTAGGAGGATTAGGATCATTATGGTATTGTCGTGTGTATCATGGTGGAACTAAGGCTTTAGGAAGTATCTAGGTCACATTAGTATGTTTTGTGATGAAACACATAATCAAGGCAGTGCTGGTATATAAGAATTGACATGGTATGTGGTTTATGCATCTCTAAGGTTAGAAGGATGAATGCTTTACAGAAAATATGGTATTATCACTAATCACCACACAAGCTTTGACTGGTATTCTGGTGCTGTCTCATGAACGCAAGGCTTGTACCACGTCTCTTGGGGTGCCTGAGATATCGCATCTTTCACAGCATGCTCACTATTTCCAGTCCCATATCCTGTATAGTTGTTAAACTTGCAGAACAGGAATTAGCACTGTGCTATTGCTAGTTGGGCATAGCTTCTCTCAGATCATGGAAAACAAAAAGCAGATGTATCCAAGCTGCTTATTGAGTGCATGCAAAGGCACAAGCTCATTTCAAAATATATCACTGCACTGGATGTCACTTTGCACTTTATCTCATGCAACTAACCAATTGGAAACAAGCAAAAAAATATATATATATATAATTATAAAAAAAAGTAAATAAATAGAAAAGGACTAATCAGAACCCCCATAAAAAAAAATAACAAATAAAAGATTTAAAAAAAAAAAATGCCAAGAATTCACCAAAATCTAAACGACCATTCTGAATCCCCCCGGCCTCCCCCTCCCCCCCTCCTCTCTTGCACCATCCCACGTCTCCCTTCCCTCCACCACCCCCTCCCTCCATCAAGGTGGGTGGCGAGGTACTGAAGGAGCGCGGAAGGAGCATCTACGGTCATGCTTCCGATGCCGTCATACACAAACTGCTCTGGAGACATGTAGGTGGAGGCTGTTGCTCCATTCTTTGTTCCTTCTTGTTTGCGTGTGCGCGATTGTGGGAATGCGTGTGGCTGTGTGCGCGTGGGCAGGTGATCTCCTTTTTATGTGTATTAGCACTTCAAGGAAATTTTAGTTTGGATTGTGCTTTAATATGGATATTGTTGGTATTGTTTCATTTTTATTAGTAGTATTATGATTATTATTATTATGATTATTGACCCAATGGTGCCGGGGAAAATGAACAAAAAATGGGGAAAATATTGTGCCCACTTTCTATGTTTTTCGTGAAATGTCTGCCGATAGATGGCTCTGCTAGCGCCTGATTTAAATGGCGGGAAAAACGTATTTTTCACTAGTGCTATGAAAATCGATGGTGTTATTTTTATCATAAACATTATAATTTTTATCATTTTTTTTAACATTAGTAACAGCAAAATAAGAGTACGTAAAATATTTTGTAAATCAAAGAAACGGGTAAACAGGCGAGACGGGCGGTGCTCGCAACTGGCTCATTGGGGAGTTAGTACAAGTGTTGCCATCTATGCGTAAAAACAATCAAACAAGTACTCACGGTGGGCATAGCACGTACATACAAGTCATACCCGGCACCAAGGGGTTAATATTATTATTATTATTATTATTATTATTATTATGTTCTTTATTACTGTTGTTATTATTATTGTTATTATTATTATGTTTTTTATTACTGTTGTTATTATTATTATTATTATTATTATTATTAATTATTGTATTTTTTCCATTCTTTTTTTTTCTTTTTCTTTTTTTCTTGCATTGAACATACACATTTTCTTTTTCAAATATGAACAATTTGTACCCATCTTTTTAGTCAATATATTTTGTCAAGGGTTTTCTTTCTTTTTTCTTTTTCTTTTGTTATCTTTATGTAAGCAAGCTATAGTTTAATATATTTTGATCATAGAAGACCAGCTGGAAGGAGGAATGTATTAAGTACTTTTCTCTTTTTCATCTTTTCAAAATTTTAGTTTCATGCCCCCTTTTATTTTTTATTTGTACTTAAAAATTGTATAAGTGGATTAGATCCGTTTTTTTTTTCTGCTTAGACCGTATTTAATGAAATTGTTTTACATTCACAACTGAGTTTGTAAATGCATGATGCACCCCTTATGTAATAACTGGTCAGAGGTAAGTAACAGTACATTCGTTAATGCATTCAGA